AGCGGGGGGACTGATGTCCATTTACTTTAGCAAAGATTGCTATTGAATGAAACCTTTAATGGGGGCGTTTATGATCCCGCTCCGCTAAGAGCTCAGGGCTGCCTTAGAATAGTCTCCCCTCCACCTTGTCAGCTCTTAGAGAATCGATACAGGTGATATGTCAGTCGGTGGTCAGCAGTCCTGTAAGTAGGAAGGCAGAGCTGAAATGGAAACTGACAGGTAGCCACTTAGAGAGGGGGTGTGGGGTAAACACTGAAAGCGAAGCTCTCTGGGGAGTGAAGGAGTGTGTGGCCCTCGCAGTGCCGTTAGTGCTGGCATCGGAGAGGAACAAAGACTAGATAGAGCGGGGGAAAGCCATTCTGACTTTAGGAAACACTTCGACTTGGGATAGGGGAATTCCCACGCCCGTTCTTGAGTGCTCAGCCCTAGGCTCCGAGTCACCCCGAAGACCTCAGGCCCTCCTGCCCTCCTGCGACTGGGCGAGTCCCGCCTTGGGGGCTCGCATGCCCAAAGGCATTTGGTATTTGAGAACTGGGAAACAGAGATAGCCCCTCCCTCTAAGAGAGGACCTGGAACGAGCCCCACCACCTTGTGTGACATCCTGCTCATTCTTCGTGGAAGCGGAAGAGTTTCAAAACAAATTTTAGAGAATTTGGCTCCGGCACCTTTAAATCAGGTAACGGGAGAGTGGAATTCGTCATTCACCGTCCCCGGTTCGGGTACCCACAGTCTCCCGACAGTCAGAGGCTGAGAAAGCCTTTCCAGAGGAAGAAAGGAAAAATCCTGTTGTCGGAAACAAGCTCACCGTGAGTTGTGGACTGTTTGGCCTCTCAGTTGTCTCGCTGCATCTAATTGGTTAAGAATGGGGAAAAATCACATGTATGGCCCTAAAATCTTACCTAATATTTTTATTAGCATCATGGAAGCAAAAGGAAGAACATAGCATGTTTAAACAGTTTATAAAAAAATCAGGAATGGAATTTCAACCTCTTTGATATATTTTCTTGAGAGCGAACTGCTTTTGACACAAAGTACTCAACCCAGAATGAATTTCGCAGACCTATAGATGGAATCTACATTATGTTAAACACACACAATTTATTCCACTTTTTCATGTGATTACAAAAATCCTGAGATAATATATGAAAATGAATGACAGCGAAGGAATATTTTATCCTGAGGTCATATGCAAAAATAAGACCACGGTCTTCTCCCTAAATATTCTCTATCTTAGCTATAATTACGGCTAAATATCTCACTTCAAGAAACCATAATTTATTAGTTATTTGAAGCCAACAAAGCAGTTAAAATTATTTGCAGCAATAAATGGAAGCTGAATATATTACCTCTTAAAATAAGGTAAAAAAAACTTGTTTTCTATGAGATTCCTGTACTTTATGAAGAGATTATCAATGAAGGGTATTTTATATTAACACAATTTTTCTTTCCAAATAATTTTGCTTATTCTATTTTGCAATGTCAATGAACAAAAAACTTGCTGTGATCCGATATTCTATTTAAATGTTTCTATTGAAGGAATCCAATGTATAAATTCGTTCTCCTGAAATTCGGATAGGGTCCATCAAATAACATTTCGGTGCCATTACTGCCCCTAAGGAAGTCACAAGGCATCCTGAAAGCACTTAAAACAACTGTGAATGAAATACTGTGCAACCTGTCATGCAGTATTTCAGACCCAGCAATAGACAGTCTAGGACTGTATTTGAGATTTTATCTATCATACTGCGTATGGCAGTTCATTGCAGCCCCAATCTGCCCTGCACTGTGGGAACAATGCCTCTATGGCCACGATGCCGAGCCTACTGCAGGCCCCGTAGAGGTCCAAGTGTCTCTTTTGACAGCTTTGTTCACTGGAATTGCCCAGTTCCCTTGAGAACTAGAACAGCTTCATCAATACCATAGATGCCACTTTACTTTGAGCCTAGTTATTTTTGCAGGGTTCAGATGTCCCTTTTTATGCATTTTTTTTTTTACTCTAATGAATAAACCGATGATATTTATCATCAGATAGACTCAGGTAGGGAAAAGAAATGTAAGAGAAACTCACTTAGGAGAAGGTCTCTAAATTCCATCAACCAGGCTGCACGAAGCTCCATATTTCCAACAGAAAAATAGGACTGTGTTCTATTGGCATCCACGAGTCCCAAGAAGAGCACTATTCTGCCAGCAATTTATTCTAACCGTTTCTGCTAATGAACAGCTTTGTAATTTTGCCAAGTCACCTAGCTACTCAGTTTCACCTCCTGCTATGTACGCTGCAGGTACTGGAAGACTATATCGAATGAAGCAATGGTTCGAAAACCTTAATACGAATTGCTGGGCCACGTCCCCAGAGTTCCTGATTTAGTAAATATCCAGTAGGGCTAGAGAATTTGCCTAACAGTCCCCAGGTGGTGTTGATGCTGCTGGTCCAGGAACCACACTTGTGAGAACAATTGAAAGCAATCATATTTGTCAATATAAAATTTGCATAATTGTCTTAATTTTGTCTTGACTGACAGGTTAAGAGAAAGAAAATGGATTAAGTATCATCCAGAACACAAGTCGCTACATTTTACTTCATTCTCACAATGCCCTACACTATAGCTACTGTGTGGGTGAAGACGTTAAACCTCGGACATGAAACACTTCCCCAACATTGGACCATGAGGACGTGGTGGACAAAGACAGTTTGTCCAACTCCAAAATCTATATTCTATTTGTTACGTTCCAACAATGTTCAGCCCGCATAATTACATTAACCCAGAGTTTTAATCCCATTCTCCTCTCTATGTGGTGGTTTGTCATGTACTTTGTCTCAGTCTTTTTTATTATCGTTATAAGCTGATCCGAGTTATCTTTAGAAATAGCCGAGATACACATTTTAAATAAACATAAGAGAGCTTAAGGTAATTACCAAAGAAAAGATGTTACAAACTGATTGCATTTTCCAAACCAAAAATTGATGTCACCTGATCAACATGACCAAGACTTTGTGGAAACAGGTCCAGGGTTTTCCAGTTTTCCAGTGGGCATGCAGGATCCGTGTAAGGTATTATTCCCCGTCACCCATTGGAGAGCGATTGTTAGAATAAAGGAAAATAGTTACCTTCCTTTGCTACTATTCTGGTTCAAAGCACACAGTGGTTCATTTGAATTATTCAACTAGTGAAAAAAACTGGCATCACACCAGTTCCTGGGGTCTTGCTTTACCATTTGATTTTCAAATAACATTTAAACCCATAAACAGTAAGAAATACATTTTAAGCTAGCAGTCAAAGAAAGGCTGCCTAATTACAAGATGAGATCCAATCGTTTCAAAAGACCATTGTTCTGACTTAATTAACATGAACTAAAACACCCCTAAAACAACAGGGCACATGCCCATTAGGATAAATTACTCAGACCTAGTCACCGCGGCACAGAATTCCCTAGAGGAAAATCTGTCACTGCCACTGCGTTTGTCTCAAAGGACTCTGCCACAGCTGGGAGCCTCCCTCTGGAGGGGGCAGCTGTTCCATATTGAGTTTGCTCCATTTTGAGAGACCTGGACCGTGGCTAAAGGGTGAAGAGAAATCCCAGGTCATCAATAGAACCATAGCTGGTGATGTGACATAGCAGTTTAGTAGCTATGGGCACCTATGAAGCACTTTTGTTCTGCGTATCTGATCTCTAGTTCTCTGTGTGAATATGTTTCTTCCTCTCTCAGCCTCCATTTCCCCATTTGTAAATGGTGAATTCAGTGGTACTCTCTCACAGGGCTAACACTCAGTAGGTGTTGGCTATTATTACCCCGAAGATGAGTCCACTGTCTTCCTGAACATTATAAGACATTATTCCCTACATACTTGCATCAGCCTTGTGACAACTAATATGGCACATTTTTTTTTCCAGTGGGTCTCTTTTTTACACTCTACATATATTATCATGAACAGGCTAATTAGAGACCTCGAAAATTCCACCCGTCTATTATTCAGGAATGAAATCCAGTTTAGACCTAGAGCAATAGAAATACATTTATTTTGTCTATTGCAATTTTTTAGCCTCTCTCGGTTTGGTAATTTTTCTTCCCCAATCGGTAAAGGTCACAGATGGTGGGTGAATAAGTAATTTCTGTGTCCTCCAAGTAATTCTGTGTGGCGCTAAACAAACTATTAACAGGCATTTGTCACGTGACGGGGGAGGGGTAGGAACTAAGAGTCTAAAATGAACCCAGATAAAGATGGGCGGTTAATTCATATCTGAACATTTAGGTACAACTAATGATGCTCTGGCTTGAATAAATTTATAAAGAATTTATTCTGTGAAGAAATATTAGCAGGTGATGGCCACAGACATATGATAATGGGGGCCCAAGGTGTAAAGGATTTTTTCTTTTTCATCACGAAACTAAACTCTACTCAGTCCCTGAAATTCAATGTTGTCCCCTCTCTCAGGGTTTTTGAGTTTCCAGACCCTCAAGAACTATTAACAGCTTTCATTATTTCTAGGTAAATTCACCAAAATTTCATTCTTATTGGAAATCATGGAAAACATGTCTGCGAGAGCTGTTAAAACCACAGTTGATAAATGCAGTTAATCAGCTAATTGGTCAGTTCCATTTTTCTGTTTCTTATCATTTGTTCATACAACACTCTCATACACAAGAAAAATAAAGACAGTCTGAGTCCTTAGTTTCCACACGGTCCCCAGACTGAGGGCTAGCAGTCGTCATGGACCTTCACGTGGGGGTCCAAGGATTCTTGATCCGGGAAGGTTTTCCCACAGGTGCTGCAAGAGCAGGCCTCGTCCTCCTTGTGTGAGCGCCGCACGTGGCTGTCGTGGGCAGCGTGGGACGCGAAAGATTTGCCGCAGTGCTTGCATTTGAAGGGCTTCTCCCCAGAATGCTGCCTGATGTGCGTGCGGAGTATGCTGGAGGCGGTGAACTTCTGCGAAGACAGAAAGCAGAAGGGTGAACTTCCGTCAGCCGGAAGACCAGTTATGCAAAGCGTTTAATGTCGTTGTTGACGCTTATGTCACCCTTAGTTCTCCAGTAGCTGTACCTTGGGTATGAAGGCTATCGAGACTCTTGGCCGACAGGAGTAGACCTAGTAACAAAAGGCACGACTGATGTGTCCTTCTGGCTGGTCTTGAGTAGCCCTGACTATTAGGGCAGTGGCCTTTCAGTGGCGAAGATCACCTGGGGTCTAGTTAAAAATGCAGATTGACAACCCTACCCCACAGAGTGTACCCAGTAAGCACACACTTTGAGGCAACAAGGAATCTGCACTTAACAAGCAATTCTCATACAGGGGCTCCTAGGACCACACTGAGGTTAGCTGCATTACAGGAGCAGCTAATATTGGCCAGTGTCTGCATACATAGCAGTACCTTACCGATTTCTTAGTTTTAAAACTTTTTGAGATAATTGTAGATTCATATGCACTCATAGAAATAATAGAGATTCTGTGTACCCTTTACTCAGGTTCTCAAGGGGAAAGGGTACAATATCACAACCAGGATATTGGTGTTGACAGTTAAGATACAGACCTTTCATCAGAAAGGCCCCTCACGTCGCCCCCTCCGCCACCCCTTCCACTCCCGTTTTTTTTAAGCCGTGCCAACCACGAAGCTGTCCTCCCTCGCCATAATTTTATCAATTCGCGGTTGTGTGCATGGAATCATACAGTACGTAGTCTTTGGTATTGGCACTTCTCACTCAGCATGTCTGGTGACTCACCCAGGTGGCTGTGTATGACAGCTCACCCCGCTCTGACTGCTGAGCCGTATTCCATGGTGTGGATACACCGCTCTGTGTCATCATGTACCCACTGAAGGACACTGGGTTGGGGCTATTGTGAATAAAGCTGCTATAAACTTGTGTACAGGTTTCTGTGTGAATGTATATGCAATTGCTGGACGGTAGTTATAAGCTTAGTTTTTAAAGAAATTGCTAAACTATGAGTGGCTATAACATTTTAGATTCCCAAGTACTTTGTTGTTTTTACATATTTTTTCGTGGCCACTTCTTTTCAATTCCCTTACTTATAACCTTTCCCCTCATTCATTCCAAAACCATGCTCTGCCCTTTGTCACTTCCAGGTACTGTAATAGAAATGTAATCATTTCATTTTAGGGGGTGGGGTCCACTGGCAGTGATATGAAACACCAGGTTAAACTGGTGACCTTGGATTTGGGGGGCCGGGAGAAAAGCACTCGACAATGGGGTGTCTGGGCATACGCAGGGTTAGGTCACTGCTTAGTAAGGTGCACGTGCTGTCCTTGCGTAGACAACCAGACATGGCCGGTCTTCACCAGCCTGAGGAACGGGAGTCCGCTCCATAAGCCAGAATGCCAGACAACGAACTTAGGTCCTAAGTGGATTTAGTTCTCCCTTCAGGTCAGCTCGAAGTTCAAGGTGAGAATGAGAATTAGAACTCCAGAAACAGGATGGGTTATGAGGTGTTTTGACCTCGCTCTGGAAATCCCTGTAGGAAAGCATTATCCCTCAGGATAGGCTGCTTTTTCACACAAACCCAGTCACCTTCCTTTGGTCTGCGCTGGTTCCGCAGAGTCCAGCTGGATCTCAGCCCCATTTTTCTGTGCTGATTATTTCCATTCTGTTGACAATTTCTTTGGCTGATTAGCTTCCCTAAGACTTGTAGACTCAATGCCTTCTTCCTCTGTGGAAGGTTTAGAAGTCACCCTAGCTAAGATAGCCTGTTTCTTTTATGGCTTCATTATAAAAAAAAATGTAAACGACTATGATAGACACAGTCCATTCTATTCGATAGACCTTTCTGTGCCTATGGAAATGGTCTGTGCCATCCGATCGGGTGGTCACTAACCACATGGGAGTACCGATTACTTGAGATGTGGCTAGAGCATCTGAGGTGCTGAATTTTCTATTTTATTTCACTTTTGTTAATTTAGATAGCCACGTATGGTTAATGGCTAACTCTGCATTAGACAGCACAGGTGTATCATCAAAGTAGGACCCGAGGTATTCTGGTAAAATGCTTCTGAAGGTCAAACTTGTCTCTACTCCAGCAACCCCTAACCACGAATCTATCTCTTCATTTTTATAACTTAATACTCTATATAATGTGGATGAGATCGCACGTCAGCGTGCTCTAGAAAACTGGATCGGCAGCATTTTAGTGTCTGTGATGTAACCAAAGAGTGCTGTCTGCAACCGTCAGGTCCTTATTAATTTGGGGTTATTACACTGCACGTGCCCTAACTGCCAAGTTGGCAACAGGTAATAGTATCAGACCATCTTAAGCAAACGTGAGCACATTTGGGGGTAGAAACAGGGATGGGGCTGTTAGCAAGAACTTGTTATAAGTTAGGCTTTACGCTTCAAGTTCTCATCCACAGACACTCAAATAGAGCTCAAAGCAGGTCTCTCAGAAGGGGGTCCCGTTTACCTTTGTACAGTACACACACTGGTAGGGTCTGTCTCCAGAGTGGACTCTCATGTGCTTGTTTAGGCTGGAAGACTGAGAGAAACATTTCCCACACGTAGAACACTAAGGCGAAAAAGAAAAATATAGTTGAACTCACGTTTCCTCTAACAAGTTCATTTCACCATGACGTTTACCTGGGTGTGAGGGAACTACTAGTATATTTATTCTGTGTATACCTGTAGGGAAGGACCAAGCAGGCCAGGCTGAGAGCTAGCCAACAGTACAAACACATGCCAGAACCACACTGAAGAACGGGTTCTGGTCCAGAGCCTGCTAGGTGCTGTGACTTTAGGTCATTTGCTTCAGATGTGAAATGCGGGCATTGAATAGGATCATGGCATTTAAGAGAGGCCTGAATTAGTCCTGCTCCGTCAACAAGTAGTGACCACAGCAAGTCAGTTAAACTTGGAATCTGTTTCCTGATTTTCTTCAGCAAGATACCTGCTGTTTTCCTTACAGAGGGCTGTGAGTAAATTGCAAGCACTGTGCAATTAATTCAACAAGTATTTATGGAGTACGTACTATGTGCTTAACACTGTGCTAGAGAAAGTAAACTAAAAATCTAGTTGGGGATGGTGATGAATACGTAGACCAAAATGGCAACTCAGGTAGCAGATGACCCGAGACATATTCTACCCACACAATAAGGGTTATAGTTTGGGGGTCCAGGGAGAGCATATGGTACGGCCACCTGCCGTGTATTAGTTCATATTACAGCTCTGTGCTCTCTGCCCTGGTGACTCCTGTCAAATCTCAGGAATTCCGAGCCAGGTAAAGGAAACTGCTGAGTTTCCCTGTGCTACTTCCCCAGGTGTGCTAATGGTAACAGACAGGAGAGCAGGTGTTTTCAGGTTGTGGGATTTGGGGTGGATTTTAAAAGTCTTCCCTATTTTTTCTGTACTGCTTGAAGTTTTAATAAGCATATATTATTGTTATTAAAGCAAAAAAAAGGTCAAATGTTTGAGATAATATTGCAAAAAGAGATCAATTACAAGAGGGAAGTAATTTTTAAAAAATTGCTCTTGTAAATGAAAAACAAACAAGAATACAAAGTACTCAATGGAAATGCCATGTAACTGGACGGACCCAGCTGACTGGTAAAGACTTAAATACAATTTGGAAAATAAGGTTGGGGAACTTTTCTGATTTTTCTGGGAAGGCTAAGCAAAAAAAATTAAAAATTAAGCACAGGAAGGTAGATTCAACCTAATATCTGGCCAAAAGGAGTTCCAGGAAAGAACAAAGATCTGGAAGGCAGATAATCAGCCCCCCTCCCCCCAAAAAAAGAAAAAGAAAATTCCTTTGAGCTTGGGACTTTTGCCTTCATATAGAAAGGGTACTTTGTACTCCACTGCATACCAAGTAGGAGAAAAAGAAAGAAAAAAAGCCACATCCAATTTGACACATTCTGTTAAAATTTCAGAACTTCAAAGACAGAGAACAAGTTCCATAAAGAAAAAACGGTTATTTACAAAGAAACAAGAACCAGATTGGCAGCGATAGAGTAGAATGATGCCTTGAATATTCCGAGGAACAATTATTTCTATCTACAATTCTATATCTAGTCAAACTATCGGATATGTGAGTAAAATATCCTGATAAGACTCAGAAAGCTTTCCACTATGTACCCTTAAACACAATTACCTGAAGATATGCCCCAGTAATACCTCCCCACCCCTTCCCCCCAAAAAAAGAAATCAAGAGGGAAGAGTGGGGAAGAATCAGGGGAACTAATGCAAGAAGGTGATGAAAAATATCCAGATCTGACTGTTCACGGGCCCAGAAACCACTGGTTCGAGTCAGAGTAAGCTCCATGAAGAATGTAAATGTCATTATACAATTACACAATTAAGAAATTAGATTTCTGTCTTGCAATTAGAAACCCTAGCAAAAACAAAAGCTTACAAGGAAGTCAAAGATGAAACGAGTTAGTCTTGCAAAATTTGAACAATGGACGGCGTGTAGGAAACAATGCTTTATGAAAAAACAAGCCCTCTGTTCGTTGGTCAGGTGTCTCAGAAGGCTGGATGGAGCTGGCATTCTGAATTTATGCATGAACTCTTGGCTCATTGTTATGGGCGCCAAGGATTTCCCCTGACATTGTAACTTCTCTTGATTCATCTGAAGAGGAGGTACGCTTATGTTTTGAATGTTGGAAGGAGGAGGGTAGTATGGGGTTTCACTGTTGGTTGTACACCCGGCACCTTCTGATATTTTTATCAGTCAAAAAATTTTTCCTCTTTCAGAAACCGATTATTCTTGTTAAAAATCATTTATCTGAAGTTCTACATGTCTGTTACACTTGAGCTTCTTTTTCTTCTAAAGTCAAATTAAATGTTTCCTTTGGGCTTCCTGAGGAAATTAAATCTACTTTAACATGGTAAAAGCACTACTTAAAGTACTGACATAGCCACATGTGTTTACAAATCAGCTTGTGATGTAATCCTAAGTCAGAAAAGTAGCCTCATAATATTCAGTATGACCCCAAGTATATTAAAAACATGCATACAGATGGAAAACAATCATATCTAAAATGTCTTAACTTTGGGCCAGAACATATCAGGCAGCTTTTGTTTTGTTTTTCTCCATATTGTATTTACCAAGCAAATACTGTTTTCTCAATGTTAAAAAAATTAAGTTGGCAATCAAAATTTCAAAGGTTTGCTATGTAAAAACCACCCCTGGCCACCCT